CACTAGTTTCCTCCCGTATCATAGAAACCGGACAACATTACACTTCTCTTCCTGTATACAGCAACCTTAGTGTTTGAAGCAAGTACACGCCACTGCTGCAGCTGAGGTGCCAGCAACTCGGCCTTGTCTTTAGGCAAGCCCAGATCACGTACTAAGTCATTCAGCTCTGAGTATTAAATAAGATGTGGGTTGACAACATCACCTTCAAATTTCTCACAGATGTCAGAATCAGGGGAAGTTAACGATTCGGAATCATTACTCATCATCAGTGACATGTTCACTGGAGACACTGGAATGGGTAAGGTGTAATCATGTGGAACATGTCGAATGGCTGATGGAAGATCGGGGTAATGAATTTTGTCCTTGTTTCAGTTGGAGATTCCAGTGACACCAGTAGGCAGAAGTAGCAGTCTGTCGTGTGATCTTTTGGCTCCCTCCACACCATGGGATTGCAAAGGGCATCTTGTCTTTACCCTTACGACACTGAGTCAGATGAAGATTGCACAACACACAAGCAATATGTGGTGCCCACTTATTATCCTGATCTCCCAGTTTTATCCCGAAATATGCGTAGTAGGCAGACTTCAGTAGTGAAGAAATGGATCTGCACTGCGACTTTGTGGTCAACTGTCTACAGAGGTAACAAAAATGATTTCGGTCATTGACACAGTAACGTCTTTGAGCCATGATCAAGATCTCAAACACAGCTGTCAATAGACTTTGCGTATCAAGTGTATACCATATCTAAGATAACTTCTTTTACACGGTTACAGGAGCCTATGGACCAATCACAGGTGAGCATTTGATGTATGGAAGGCACTGCTTTACCTGAAATGAATGACTGAAATTAAACAAAAACCCAACATGATAGAAACATTTGGCTTGCATATTTATAATCAGCTCACTTGGCACTACTAGAAACATCCTGTCTCATTTCTGTTCCAAAAGTCATGTTGAACAGTATAATTGGATTTTAAATGAGGTTTGGTAAAGGCAATATCGGTAAAATGAAGATCGTTAAGAGTTGATAAAGGCAAATAATATCTGCCATTCAGATTACATGGAGAATAGAGTCTTATATAGTTGCTGATTGACCGGTGCTAGTATTAGCGAAAGGCACTGGTGGTTCATTTGACTTAGTATTGGTTGTTTTCCTCATTTTAGTGCACATTCTATGCCATTTGGTCTTTTCCAGTGCGCTACACCTTAAGCTAACTTTGTTCTGAATAACTCAATCGGTTTGTCTATGGTGGGCAGTTCGTCTATGCGATCACGAAATACATGCGGGAACACACAGGATCTTAAAGACAATGGGGGCCTGTTCCAAATGGTTTCATATTTATTAAATAACTTTGATCGTATTTTAATCTGGTGAACCCTTTATTTCGTAGTTCGTAACGTCAGGTGTGTTGTACTTGAGGAGAATAACGGCACATGAACTTTTCGACATCTCACATTGTAAAGGAGTGTCAGGTGATGAATAAGCCTTCTGAGCCAAAACGGATACAGTTTTAGCGTTCTGTAGGCTTCTGGCTACTTAAGTCTGCTAGTGGAACCAAGAATCAGTCTTATAAATGTACGTTGAACGCGCTCCAGTGCCGATGCATCGCACTAACATGCATTACAGTGAATGATAGAACAGTACTTTAGCATTGAGCGTGTACATGTTCTGAACAATCTTAGCTTTCAAAATCTGTTGAATCTAGCAGTGTGAGGGACCTCGCATTTTCACCTTAGCCTTTGCGACAGTAGTCTGTATATGTTCAGCAAAGTTCAGACTATTAGAATGATGTAATCCTAAGTCAAGGACTTCAGTACCTCAAATAAGCGCTTTACCAAAGTAGGTCAGTGGGCTAGATCGAATGTCACAGCGGAATGATAGAAGGTTGCTCTTTTCAACTGTGAAGCTCGTCTTTGTTGTGGAGCATCACAACTCAAGAGCATCTAGTTAAGGTTGTACGCTGCTTTCTGTCGCGCCGAGGATGTACACAACTTTAATGTCATCGGTGAACATGTAAGTTCAACCATGGGTAAGTGCATTCATAACATCGTTATTGTATATTATGTTATATACATATATATATGCATATTGTATTATATAAGCAATAGTAAAAAATCAAGGACACTGCCTTGGATAACATCACTGGTTACCGGGCTGCGGCAGGATAGGTGATTTTCAATTAAGTTAGGATGGAGGGCAGGAGGGTAAGCGGTTGGTGATACCAAATGATGCCAAGGTTACCAAAACTCTTTCACGCGATACCTGGCCTTCTGCATACCGAGAAATATCACAACATAGGGTGTGATGTGCTTGAATAACTCCAGGTGACATCACTGGCAAGAAAGATGCTTTACGAAGCCATGCTGCACCGAGCTAATAAGATTTCTGGAGAGTGAAAATCCATACGTCCTTTCCTTTACAACCTTTTCTATGACTAAGCAGAATAGAGGTATGGCTAATTGAACGATGATTTACTGCATTTTCTCTCGATCCTGTTTTGTAACACGGAATTATTTCAGCATGCTGACTCTAGTTGATAACGTGAGCAGGTTTTGGATATCGGGAGCCAGAAGTATACTATCTAGACCATCGTGAATGGAGGGCTTTAGCGAGCTGAGGGTCTTCTTTATTTCTTCATGAGTAAAGCCTTTAGTTTCCACAATATTGGCCCAATGCAAGTTTGATAGAGCAGTATGGTGCGGGACATAACTAATGGATGAACAGAAGTGCTGGTTAAGAATATCACGAATAATCGGGGAATCTTCGCTCCAGGAAGAAAGAAAAGCATCAGCAATACGCCGGTACAGTACCGACGCTTCGTTCCCGCGCAACCATCACCAGTCGCATGTGGGCTAAGGATATTGCACGGGTCACCCGGTCTCTACGCGGGCTCGAACACGCGCCTTCGAATCACAAGGCAGGCTTGTGATACCTCAGTTTGGACTGATGTAGGAAGCATACTATTTGTAGTGCCGACATTCCGCAACCTCCTTTACGTTTAAGTAGCTTAAGAAGGTTCTTTTGTTTCTACCTGAGAGCGTAAGGCGTTCTTCCGAAATGCGCTTTTTCACTTGACGTACTTCCAATCTGCTAAATAGGTTGTGAAGTTGATACAGTGGGGTTAAATTATGTTTTTTTGTAAGCATTGACTAACCTGTTGATTTTCAATTTACTACTCGCGGGATTGATTGTATTTTCTGCATTTCTGTGATGTCTCTGTCTCTTTTCAGGGGCAAGGATGTCTAGATATTTATTTCTATTCTGATAGAATGCTTCAACAGCTATTTCAGGGTCGCACGTAAACTAGTATGCTTCCCATTGATTCGACCTTAGCAGTGATGCGAATATTTCCCAATCCATCCAGCGATATGTCCGGTAAGACGTATTGCAAAATTCGGCCTTGCTCTGATAGATTACATAACGTTGAATACCACAAGGTTGTGATCCCTACCCGGATGATTATCTAGGATAGTGACTTCCATTTAGGAGGGCTATGGTAAGGATTAGGTCAAGGATGTTGCCATTCCTTGTCAGAGATGGAACCTATTGATCCCAACCTTGTGAGTAAATGCTAGAGGTAAATTCAAACAGGCTGCGTGGTGAGGTATAAGTGTACCAATTTCTGGCATATTGAAGTCGCCTTCAACTAATAGTTGTCTATGCTCCTCGAGATCTAGTTGTCTACTATTGATGTTGCTGCAATGTGGCGGATTGTAGACACATCCGATGAGGAAGTTGCCGTTATTTATCACTGCTACAATCCATACTGAGTCAGCGACGAATAAATCGTTTCACCTATATAAGTAATGCAACCCCTATCATTGGGACGCCCCCTTGAGTAGCTATTCTATCTTAGAATAAGTGGTATTGTGACTAATGCGTCTGATCGTTGAGACATGATTCCGTGATCATAGCAGTCTGGGGATTTGAGAGATATTCGATCTGGCGAAGAAAACATCTTATCGTTAAGTGAGCGGGCGTTAACAAGAGACCTTGTAATACTTTCGTGTGAGTTCGATACATCTATACTTTTAGTATGAGGAGTTGAAAGGCGTTGGAGTCGGAGGAGAAAGCCTAGTCGGTGGGAGTGATTGCTGGAGATCCGGTACTGTTGTATTCCGCTGGACAAATTAGATAACTTGAAAAGTGAGACCTGTGAATCTTTGATGCAATTATGGCCGCACACTTTCCGCCGTATGATCCAAAAATGGTTTGGTTCGTTTTTACGTGGCTGTAGAATCTGGCTGTTGTAATCTTCCAATAGAGCCGTAGACTCAGATGAACAGTGGTATGATGAACGTGGTATAGTCGTGATCTGGATGGCGCACTGTATACTGAGGGAATATTCCCTGGGTAGAAAAAGGCATCATCCCATCTCTAGCCATTGTTATGACTAGGAGGATCCCAAGTGTGGCCGCGACACGATAATGCTAGGTGGTCGTTCTTGTTCTCTGTAATTATTTGCCCTTGGTACACAGTCACTAGATCAGGCTCTTTGAACCTGCTGTAAGTTGTAGGGAGGAGGCTGATCCTACGTTTAGATAGGATACTTGGGCTTTAGCTCTTGGAATAACAGCTTGGTTACATGCTGGTTTCGCACTGCTAACAAATTTTACCATCCTACATGAGTGGCACAAAGGTAGGACCCAGTTACTTGTTGTTTACTTGTAACCTTCCGGATGATGTGTCATCCTATCGGTCACCATGTCGATACACTTAGTACCACTCTCCCTCTCTCTGACGAACGTTTCATTTGACTCGTATCCATGATTTGGTTTATGGCAGTTCATTTTCTTGAAGTGTACCGAATTTCTCGCTCTTCTAATGCACGACAAACGAACGGTCGATTTCGTCACTTCGACACTGGGATTTCTTTTTTCTTTTTGCATACAGATACTCACATGCTATTCATGGCTGCTGTAACATCGGTGTGCATCACCGTTGCTCCTACCTGTGTTCTCTATTAAGTTTTGTTCTAAGCCTTTCTATGTTCACACAGGGTTCACAAGGGCCTCGGCCCCGATGACCACGCTGTTTTGGATGTGGTGTGCCGACGAATTTGCAAAGAAAATCAACCATTCGAGCGACTGGAAGTCACCAAAAATGATTTGCTTGCTATGTTTGCGTACAACAAATTCAAATGTCGTATCATTCAAGACAAAGTGGCCACACCCACAACTACCGTATACAAATGTGGACCTCTGATTGACCTTTGTCGCGGGCCACACGTGCGTCATACCGGTGAGTCTTTTTGAAATAGTAATAACTATGGGTATATCCTCAACGGAGTGACATGGTTTAGCAAAACTTATCCGGCCATCTAGTACTAAGCAGATTCAAATCGACGTTGAACCTTTTCTACGAGATCAACTGCACTTTCTTTTCCGGTGATCCTTCCACCAACTTTTTCTTCTATCGATCCGACTAGACTTCGGATCAGATTATACAACCCAGAAATGTTAACTGTCCTTCACATGGGGTGTCCAATCGAGAAAAAATAGCGGAGTGAATGATAGGCAGTGCGTTGAGAACTCTGAACGAAAAGAAGCATAATCTTGGTATGTGACAACCATTTGAACATCGAGTAAAGATGAAAGCAGACAAATAGAGGGCCCTTGCTCAATGAACAACTAACCGAGAAGCCATCATGAACGATGGCGCATGTACACAGCGTGCACGATTTAATTCAGTCAGTAAGCGCGAACGATGTGTTAACGAGATGGAACCGGCCCGTTGACTTAGTAATCACGAACCTGCTTTGGAATTCGATGGCGCGTGTTTGGCCCTCGCAGTCTCCTAAACCCACGTACGCGGCAGCAAAGTGTCGGTACTGTGTACGGACTTATTGCTGATGCCTGTTACGAGATGGAACAGAGGTGGAAACAGTAATAAAGACACACAAAGTAGTTGGATTCGTGAGGGGAACTCACGTGTTCAACTGATTAATGCTTCAATGTTTCACGCACACCCAGTGAACTTTCGATCCGATTGAATACTGGGAATGGGGCGATTTGGTGGAGGAATCAACTGTTTGGCCCTTTTATCCAACACACTGGTATGCTTACGTTTTTGCAGACACATGTTAGCTCTTCAATTTGAGTGAGAATGGAGAAAGAGTTTGCTTGTTCGACCCATCCGTGTGTTCTACCTATTCCATATATTGCACCGCGAACGTCGTTGATTTAGCTCTGTCCATAATTTTAGGAGGTGAGTGCTATGCGTGGCTTTTACTATCACCGATTGTACGGTGCTCGTGATTTTAGCTACCTGACCTTGATATCTGCATTTTCCGCAAGTTCGATTTTTGGCATTGATGACTTCCGTTAAAACATTTCTTACACGTTGTTCCCTTTCGTAATATCACTTTGTTTTCAAGTACATTTGCGATATTTGTGTCTGCTTCATCGTCTCCTCGTTTTCCTTTTGTGTGTCCTCTTTCTCAGGATGTGTGAAAGCCATGATGGTGACGAAAAGTAGTTCCGCCTATTGGGAAGGTCAGGCTGACGCGGAATCCCTTCAGCGTGTCTATGGCATCTCTTTCCCCGATCCAAAACGCCTCAAGGAGTGGAAGCATTTTCAGGCAAGTCCTTGTGTTCTGACACGGCTCCCACTCTGTATTTTGTGTTCTATCGATTGGTTGCAACAACCCTGACCAGTTATGATTAGCCCAAACTCTCGCTCTCTTCACATACTGTGGCACGAATTTCCATCGTTTTCTCTCATCCACAGGAAGAAGCTGCTCGACGTGATCATCGTAAGCTCGGAGTGGAACAGAAATTGTTCTTTTTCCACGAACTATCCCCCGGCAGTTGCTTCTTTCTCCCTGCCGGCGCCCACATTTACAACACCCTTATTTCTTTTATACGGTCGGAGTACTGGCGCCGCGGGTTTCAGGAAGTCATTACTCCAAACGTGTACAATTCTTCACTGTGGGAGATCAGCGGACATTGGCAACATTACAGCGTAGGTTTGTTTGTTCTCACGCGTATTCTGGCTCTTCTCCTCCGTGCGTATTTAGTCTTTTGGCGCGCGCATCAATCGCTGCCAAACCAGTATGCGATCGATGTGGCAATTTATACCCGCGTACTCCACTGGTTCCTTTTTCCGCACACTTTTGTGGCCCAATCTCGTGAACCGATGGACTTCGTTCCACTAGAATTCGGAATCAACGGTTTTTATCTTTATGGTGCTTACAGCACCCCACCCGTTCTTTTTAGGTTGGTATGTTAAGCATACTTGTTTCCATGGGTTCTTAATAGTATACAGGTATTTCCTACTGCTACTTCGCTGTCGCGCATTCGCAAGCGGTTGTACGCTAGCAGGGACACTTTCATGCCACCCACACCTAGACAGCAGCGCGTACTCGGATACCGGGGTGCATAGAGTGCATGCCATACGCCTGCACCAATATTACACGGTGATACTTTCTTCGTCAAAACGCAGTCACCCTTAAAGCGTGTGTGTTTTCTTCTACGATGGGAATACCGGATCTCACTTTACCATGCTTCGCGAACACCTGTATCGTTTTGGCTTAGCGTGCATCTCTATGGTCCGCACTGTGTCTACGTTTCTAGACAATGCTTCATTTTAGTCCACTTAAGCCAGAGTCTTTTTAATGCCGAAATATTGGCAACCGTCGTCTTTACTCACCTAACCTACTTGGGTGCGGGTTACTTCACCGGATCCCTGATCCGCATGCGACCGTTGGTGCTCGCATGACAGCGTAACGTCGGTACGACGTACCGGCGTAATACTGATACCTGCATACCTGCTCACTTAATCATAATTCATTAAGGCAGCAATAGTGAACAAATGCAAGTTTGAGTTTACTCTGATTGACCAATTGGTTGTCGAAGTGTCCAGAAAATTTAACATATGTAAACAGGCTCCCTAATGCTCGAGCTCCAAAAGTATTTACCTAAATCAAGTCGTGTAGGGCACCTGAGCAATCATTCTTTCCGATTCGAAGGCCTCACCTATAAAAACGGCACGCCTCAGCTCGACCCAGCCTTTCGGTCAGCTTATGGTGCGCCAAGGGTCAGTAGGATGTGGTTAAAGAATAATCCAGACAGTTCCGGGTCAACAACTTACCAAACTGACGTCCTAACGCGAAGCGAACCCTTGGGTGCCCAGATGGATGTGCGCTTGGGAGAAATTAGGTAGCAGCGTCCAACAAGGCTTCAAACAAAGTGTATCACGCAATCTCCAAGAAGCTGTTCAAATATGCGTACGACAGCTGGTCGTTGCACAATAAACAACACCGCACCGCTTATCATCATCATCATCCTCATCATCATCATCATCATCATCATCATCATCATCATCATCATCATCATCATCATCATCATCATCATCATCATCATCATCATCATCATCATCATCATCATCATCATCATCATCATCATCATCATTCATCATCATCATCATCATCATCATCATCATCATCATCATCATCATCATCATCATCATCATCATCATCATCATCATCATCATCATCATCATCATCATCATCATCATCATCATCATCATCATCATCATCATCATCATCAATCATCATCATCATCATCATCATCATCATCATCATCATCATCATCATCATCATCATCATCATCATCATCATCATCATCATCATCATCATCATCATCATCATCATCATCATCATCATCATCATCATCATCATCATCATCATCATCATCATCATCATCATCATCATCATCATCATCATCATCATCATCATCATCATCATCATCATCATCATCATCATCATCATCATCATCATCATCATCATCATCATCATCATCATCATCATCATCATCATCATCATCATCATCATCATCATCATCATCATCATCATCATCATCATCATCATCATCATCATCATCATCATCATCATCATCATCATCATCATCATCATCATCATCATCATCATCATCATCATCATCATCATCATCATCATCATCATCATCATCATCATCATCATCATCATCATCATCATCATCATCATCATCATCATCATCATCATCATCATCATCATCATCATCATCATCATCATCATCATCATCATGTCAACAAGTGTTTCCAGCCAAACGTGTCCATCGTCTGTCGGACCCCAACCACGGAGCCCAGATGCTCCAACCGAGGCCAGCTGCGAAGTGAGTGCCTTCACTCCTCTCGACCAAGTTATCTCTTGACCACTTCTCATCTTCTTTCATCCGCACCCCCGGCGCCCAAACAGCGCACCCTACGGGAACCGGTGGGCTAGCATGCGTAACAGGTGGACGCGCCATCTGAGCGTAGTACGAGAGTTAACGGTGTCGAGTGGTTCATTTCCCTTTCCTGTGCCGTAAACAAGGTGTCGAACACGCTCGTTGCTTACGCGGTGTTCCTGCCAGATGTGAGCCAAACTGCGAAGGCACCGGTGGTCGAACGTAACTAGCCTCTTTATGTCCGTTGATCTAAGGGGCCAGGTTTCACAATTGTACCGTAGGGTTGAACGTACGGCTGCATTGTACACCCTACCCTTCAGGGCGAGAGTGATGTCGCGCCGGCGCCATAAGTGGCGATGGTTAGCAAAAGCGCCTCGAGCGTTTGCCATACGCTTCGTGATCTCATCTTCAATCACACGGGCGCTGATACAATTTCCCAGATAGTTGAATTTTTGAACGACTTCTAGGTGATCCCCACCAAGGGTCAGCACAGGAGGCGATCCAGGCCAATTTTGAAGGAACGCATTGCATTTCGAGGATGCGAAGCAAAGCCTGAAGTTTTGACGGACTGCCAGTGCTAATCTGTCCAGTGCTGCTTGGCATGTTTGTGAGCTGTCACAGATGAGGGTAATATCGTCAGCAAACTCCAAGTCAAGAATCCGTTCTCCTGGGAGCAGATCCATACCTTCTACTTCGTGTCCTGTGAACGCGCTTTCCATGACTTCATCAATAGCGAAGTTGAAGAGGAAACGTGACAGCGGGCATTCTTGTCTCAAACCGCTGGAGATATTAAAGGGCGGCGACAGCTTGCCGTAAGCCCTCACTCTGTCTGAGCTACGCGCGTATAATGCTCGGATAATATTTACATATTTCACAGGTACACCTTTTTGAGTAAACAGTTCCAAAGTTCACGTTTATCCACCGAATCGAATGAACCTTTGATGTCGAGGAACGCAACAACGGTGGGCCGCCAATATATGTGACGGTGCTCCAACAACTGACGCAAAGTGAAGATATGGTTAATGCAGCCAAGACCTCGACGAATTCCGGCTTGCATTTCACGAAGTGGCAGTCAGTCTGTGAAGGATGACAGAGACAAGTTATTTGGAGGCGATGGAGATCAGACTGATTCCTCTATTGTTGCCGCATTCCGATCGTGAGGCTCCCTTGAAAATTGGGACTATGACGGAGCGGCTCCAGTCGGTTGGGAGAGTTTCCTGCTCGCTTATTTTCACTAGTAACTCGTATAAATCATCCACCGGAGCAGGTCCCCTGAATTTGATAGGGGGCTGGAAGTAGACCATCTAGTCTCGCAGCTTTATTTAACTTTAAACAGTGGGATCTCACGTTCAACTTTTGAGCGAGCTGGAGTCCCCAGACACGCGCACAGCGGTTCAGCCGATAGTGAATGGAGCGCATGGTAGTAAGCAGTCCATGCGGGTTCCAGAGGCCGGCGGAAAATCAGAGCCACTTCCGACCGATAAAATTTTGATTTGCCATGTTTTTTCCAAGTGCACTAGCGGAGCCCAACCCTTCAAGGCATTTATGTCAAGACGGATGAATAGACTGTACCACATCTCTGGTGTCTGTATTCCCCACACTAATGCTGTGTGTCTCTCACTGCTGGCGTCGGAGACCGCCCCCGTTTAGTCCCCTATCTATACCGGAAATGAGAGCTTATGATGGTTACCACGAGGCAGCGAAGCGCGGAGCGCTCCCCCAGACCGATACCGCTACAAGGCGCTGGCCATTTATTCCATACTCTGTATCGCACGACAGCGCCGCCCCGCCAGACCTAACCGGCTGCGAAAGATGCCACCAACGACGGTCGTCAATCGGACCACGCGACACTCGGGAGCTTTCGCTGCTTTCGGCGTTCGTCGCTTCGTCGCGTTTTTTTCTCCTTCAGCATGAACTCGCTTAGCAAAAGAGAGTAACTTGGCCCAGAGTAGGAGCTGGGGGTAACGCTTCGGGGACAACTTAGGCACAGACAGGGGGGGTTTTGCCTGGAGCTCTTGTGTGTTGTTTGAGGGTCGGGGGGAGTTTCATTGTGTAGTTTTTTCATTGTGTTTCGCTTTTCCGCCTTGTTCGCTTCTTCAGTTTCTTTCCACCGGAAGTAATGGCCGGTGAGCAAATACGCTAAGTTTCAACAGACTGCAAGGTAATCACTGCCCCAATGTTCCTCATGTATGACCGATATGCGAGCCGCTCTTTCAAAGGAAAAAACCCATTATCATGTTAGGGTTTGCATAGCTGCAAGAGACCCACGTAATCAGTCTCCCGTCAAGTTCTCCACTCCCCGGCACGAGTGGAAGCCGAATTCTGGAGCGCAAAACAAGGTTTCCCGCCCCACCAAGAAACCCAGCCAAAGCCAACAAACCAATGCATGTTCACCCA